AGTAGTAAAGCAATAGGCAGCACTTAAACTTCAATGGACTCTACTAAGAACCAGCAATTATCTGAATTCTCACCCCCACCCCCGTGCATTGAGCTTTAGAAGGAGGCAAACGATAAAAGGTATTCCTGTGGATTAACTCCAAAAGAATGACTCTGAGGTGTTTACTTGGCCAGCATGAAATCAGAGCCACCTCTCCTATTTTCTGGGCGTGTTTATACTAAACAATGAAAATGGATTTTCTGAGTGATAGCCCTGAGACCCTGCAGGTGTCTCGCTTTTCAAAAAAAGCTTCAATTATGTTCCTACATTACACCTACTAAGGAAGGAACGTAAAGGAATATACTTCACAAAGAACTCCTCAAGCAAAATGAGAATAATCTTGAGTTACTTGGATTATAAGACCTGCATAATTCAGATCACCCATTTTTTTTAGCAATCTGTGCAATAAGGATTTGTGGTATAAACAACCCTTATGCTGAGAGTATTTCTTCATACAGTTAAAACCTACAACAGGCAGACCCCATGTTAAGTGAAAAATCTTTCAGCGGAGGAAAATCCAAGTATTTCTAGTAGCACAATTACAATAAAATCATATGACTACATCCTGTTAAAGGTGGAAACTTGTGAGTCCCCCCCTCACAGAAAAAAAGCAAAGCAGTCTTATAGAATTCCAGCTATCACAGGTTAGATCACATCTTTCCAGTAGTTCCCAACTTTTTAATAGTTGCATAAGAAATGTCTTGGTACATTTTTGAGGTAAGGGAATTGCACATTGGATAATTGAGTCACCAATGTCACTTTCCTTAGATGTAGTCAAGTGATTTGGGTCTCATTGTGACCCAACACTTATGCTGGTAAAATGAAAGAATGAAATCTTGGAGGAAAAAGTATGGGATCGCCCCAGGAAATTGCATTTATATTTTCAGATTTCAGGGTATTTGACAAGAAGAGGCACAAGCACTGGATGGGTTGAAGGTCTAAAGGACGAGAAGGATCCCTTGCAGCCATGACACCCTGTGATCCTCAGAATGGCAATGGTTAGTTCATTGGCCAGATATGCTTTTCTGCTCTCTATGTTGTCCTGCAAGTGAAGGGTCAAATTGTGAAAAAGCACATATGTGCAAACGGTGCCATCAAAAGTGTGTAATTACTATAAAATAATAAGGCTAGTCCCTAAAGTTCCATTATGTTCAATAGCAAGGTGATGCTAATATTAAAGGAAAATGCTCATTATTTTTATGTGAGCTTTGAATTTTTGGTTTCGCCCTTCAAAATTAATCTATTTAAAAACAACATACTTTTCCTAGCTCCTTAATGATAGATCCTTAAGATTTTAAGGGCAAATTGCTCAAAACTTCTGGAGGCCAACAAAACAGCATTGGGTTCGATTATCACTGGCATTTCACCCATTATTTAGATTAGAGATTTTCATGTGATAGCACTTATAGCAAATCTGTTTTCAAGCTGAGAGAAACCTTGGTGGATCTCTGGTATCACGATGCCAAGAAATTTAATAACTTACTCTGGTTGGGTGGAAGGGCACTTCTGCTGCGCAGGACCTCTTTAAAGTATTTAAAGAGCAAGGAAGTCACTTAGAGGACTAAGGTGCGCATGACTCAAGCTTTAGTAATTTCAATCACCTCATCTGCATGTGAGAGTTTGACAATGGATAGAGAAGACAGGAGATTGATGCATTTGATTTACATGTTGGGGAAGAACACTGGAAGTCCTCTGGGCCACCGGAGGGACAAACAAATTTGTCTTGAAAGAAGTAGAGCCAGAAAGCTCCTTCGAAGCAAGGCCAGCAAGACAGCCTCCTGGCCTTTGCACATGTTGTCATGCGACAAGTCCCTGGAGAAGTACATCATGCTCGCTCGGGGACGCAGAGTGCCGTTGAAAAAGAGAAGACACTCACGGAGATGGATTGACACGGTGGCTGTAATAATGGGCTCAAACTGGAACGACGATTTGGAGGATGGAGCGGAACAGGGCAGTGTTTGGTGACCCTTGAGCATAGACAGGGTTGCTGTGAGAAAGAGCCCACTAGACAGCACCTACAACGACCTCTAAAGTTGTTCATCCCTATGCATCATAAAAAAAACCCATTCACACCTTTCTGCAGGAAAATGACAGTGTTGAAGTTCCTTCAAATTCATAAAATCCTCATAGCATAAAGTGTTGCCTTTTCAGTTAATGACTCAAAATCAAGCCATACGGTCCTTGGCAGGGTTTCTTTGATTTTCCACCTCAACTCTGACCTCCTTAGCAGCCTCTCATCTTTCTAAGCCTCGCTTTTCCAGGAAGCCTCCCCTGCCCGACACCTTTTACCATCTCTTTCATTTGCTCTCTTGCTATTAAAATTGCTCCCCCACAGTGCTCATTTCTACTGTGGTGTCTGACTCCCAAAGTTTTCAAGTGTTTACATGTGTATGTGTGTGTATTCTTTGCCTTTTTGAGATTGTGAGTTCCTCTCAGGGAAGAGCCCCTGTTTATAATATTCATGTCTGCAAACAGCATATACTAAGTGGGTGTTTGGTCAATATTTCTCAAATAAACAAATATAATTAAATAATTAGAATAATGAGTGAGACACCTCCTTCCACCTGTTAAACAAGAGAAACAGGAGCAAGGGGGAAAAAATCTCTAAACTGATGATGTGTCCTCTTCTAATTGATGATGGAATGTCTCTTGAATAAACAAACAAACAAAAAACAAAACTTGAAATAAAGAATGGAAATGAGGCAGATGATGCTGACTGCCCTATGTTCCATCAGTGATTGCACCTGGGAGGACTACATCAGGTGAGTTAGTTAGTCTATTTTGCCAACCTGGCCTATAAACACATGTGGGATTAATTGAAGGGCGGAGGGATAAATGGCTCAGTGAGCGGTGTCTTTCAAGTTCTCGGGTCTCTTGCTTTGTGATGGTCGCACCAAGGTGCAGCTGCCTGAGCAGTTCCCTGCTTCAGCTTGTAAGGCTGACTTCCTGCAAGACATCCCCAAGGAGAAGCCACATGGACCTAACCAGATGCAACCCTGGGTGTTGGAGCACCTGTGTGGAGACCCCTGCCAGCGCTGAGATGCTTACACATTGATTGACTCAGCTTTCCTCCTGCAGTCGGCATCATTGCATGCCATCTGTTTTGTGAGATGCAGGAGGACTTTGTGGATTGATGTTAGACATATGGGTTAATGGGTTAATGTTGGACTTGTGGGCTTGGACAGCACTGGGTTGGGATGTTTTCTTGATGTACACTTAACCTTTATATAAAACTGTCTCTTATACATGAGTTTCTGTGGATTTGTTTCTCTAAAGTACCCAGACTAATACATCAGAGAAAAACAAAAACAAAAATGCTTCTGCCCCCTCTTTTTAATGTAGAGAAAATTAAGCGGTACTCATGGAATTCTATCTGATCACCACTTTTTCTGAGGTTCCACTCCCATATGAATGAGGGGTTCACTGTGCTCTAGGGTCAGAATCATAGTTGGATCTCAGCATGGTATTCATAAATCAATGTAATGCAGAATTAAAGTGAATTTTCCCATCACAAAGGGTTATCTCACTTGTATGTTAGAGACTGTACCTGTTTCAAACCAGAAACAAAACCAATTTCTCTGAGTCGATTCTGATTTAAAGGGAGAACTCATATATCTCAGTGTAGAACAGTGTTCAGTGAGGTTTCCAATGTCTCATTTTTTTCCCCTGAAGTACATCACCAGGTCTCTTTTGAAGGAGACTCTGGATGAACTTACACTGCCTACTTTTCAGTTAGCACACAAGTGCATTAAGTGTCTGTACCACCTATTGACTTTTTCTAACCAGTCTCCTGTGTTTGAGACCCTCTTACTATCCATATTATTTGCTTCTTTTATATGCTTACATCCAATGGGTCAATGTATCCTGTTCATTCTACTTAAGAAAAAATTGCCTATCCAACAATTTCAGTCTTTCTTAGGCCTTTTGGAATGTAGCAACAATTCTATCTTTGAACTATTCATAAGAATACCTCCTACATGGGCCTTCTGACTCCATTGGGTCCTCTATATGTCATTAGAATGTCTTCCTTAGATAAACTAAGAACGTAAACTAAACAAAACTCACCACAAGTGTCTTTAAATTATTTCCTTTTCATCTGTTTTTGTGGGCATGGAGGAGATTCTTGCTTATTGATGACATGTAAATGCCTCAGATTTATTTGAACATAGGTGCAAACTCAAATCCATGTACAAATTCCTCTTATTAAATTGAATGTCTTCTTTCTCTGGAAATAAGATGTTCTGTCACGAGTTCTTGCTTTTCTACATGATTCTTTTTGTCTAGACTGATGCTCACCAATTTTCCACGGGCAATGGTCATCTTCATCACCCAGCTTGAATATCCTCTTGAGAGAAAGCACAATTTGTCATTTTATTCTATTTTGTTTTTGTTTTAGCAACATATATGTAAAAATACTTGACCAGCTTTCCGATCCTTTATCCATCAATCCATCCCTGGTATATGAGACCATAAGAGCAGGCATCAACTCTGACTTATTTTTCCTGTTAAGAACATACCAAAACACTTCTCATGTAGAAAACAAAAAAGGGAACCAGTAAAAGTACATAACATTTTTAAATGAACAAAATGAGGGTTGACATGGTGTTTTGGAAAAAGTTTTGGAAATAATCTTTCCCATTTCATTTCATCCATTGGCTTTTAAGGGTTGGCCTTAGAACCCATCAGGCTTAAGCAATTGTGTTTCTATGGAAGCAGACAATCTAAGTTCTATAGCACATACCTACACATGAACTTTGGAACACAGAAAGCTACTTCCAAACTCTATGGGCCTAAGAAGCAAGCACTACGGCTGGGTGGGAGTGGACCTCTCAGGGAAGTGAATGAACCTGAGCAAAGCGTCAAGCCTTGAGAAACACCGGCTCAGAAACCAGAAACCATCTCTGGTCAGCAAGTGAACCACCCAATGTCATCTGCTCACCTGGCCCTGCTGGGCCCATGCCATGCTGATCACTGTGTACTGTGTGCGGAGGGACCTCTCCGAAGTCACCTTCTCTCTCCAAGTCAGTCCTGATTTTGAGCTTTATAACTTCCGGGTACTTTGTGAACTTGAGTCTGGCATTCCTTTGGAAGAGACTCAAATAATCTACTCAGAGCGACTCCTTGCTGATGACCATTGTTCCTTGGGGTCCTATGGCCTCAAAGATGGTGATGTTGTAGTCTTACTTCAGAAGGAGAATACAGGGTCTCGACCTCCAGGCCGAACAGCGAGCCAGCCTCAGATAGATTTAAGTGGGGCAGCCATACCTGGAACATCCAGCTCCCGCCAACAGCAATACCATCACCAGCAACGTGCACACATAGCTCATCAGGCCCGCTTGGCTTCTGGAGAGAAGATGGCATCTTCTCAAGGTCTGGACAGTCCAGCCTTGATCCGAAGCATGCTGCTTTCCAATCCCCATGATCTGTCCCTGCTGAAGGAGCGCAACCCGCGCTTGGCAGAAGCTCTGCTCAGTGGAAATCTTGAGACCTTTTCTCAGGTCCTGATGGAACAGCAAAGGGAGAGGGCCCTGAAAGAGCAAGAGAGGATTCGCCTCTATGCTGCTGACCCATTTGATCTGGAAGCTCAGGCCAAAATCGAAGAAGAAATTCGGCAGCAGAACATCGAGGAAAACATGAACATCGCTATGGAAGAAGCACCTGAAAGTTTTGGACAAGTTGCCATGCTTTATATTAACTGCAAAGTGAATGGGTATCCTTTGAAGGCTTTTGTTGACTCGGGAGCACAGATGACAATAATGAGCCAAGCTTGTGCGGAGAAATGTAACATCATAAGGCTGGTCGACCGACGCTGGGCTGGGATTGCTAAAGGAGTGGGCACCCAGAGAATTATTGGCCGCATTCATCTAGCTCAGATTCAGATCGAAGGTGATTTCTTACAATGCTCTTTCTGTATATTGGAGGAGCAGCCCATGGATATGCTACTAGGACTAGATATGCTTAGAAGACATCAGTGTTCCATTGACTTAAAGAGAAACGTCCTGGTGATTGGCACCACTGGCACGCAGACTTTCTTTCTTCCGGAGGGAGATTTACCCTCGTGTGCTAAGTTAGTAAGTAGTTCTGGGCATGATGAGTCTTCAAACAAGGAAGTAGCAGATTGTTTTAAACACTAGGTCCTAGATTAAGGGTAGAAAAAGCATTGAAGCAGTTTGTGAATGTATCACCGCTCTCCAGGTCCCAGAAGAAGTGAGCTCACTGGCAATCTAATCATTAAAAACATCAGTAACAATGACTCTTGGCATGTTCATTAAGGTTTGAGATCTGTAACTATGTGAAATTCAGTTGTTGTGCTTGTCCCTTCTTTCCAGTTCCTTTACTTAAAGATCATCGAAACTCTTGGGGGGACAGCTCTGGAGGCTCCAGCTAGTTTCTAAATAACACACCACAAGAGAAACCAGCCTCTTCCTTTAAAAGAGACCATCCCAGTGGATTAGAGAGTTGTTACTGTTAGTTGCTATCAAGTATCTTCCAGGTCACAGCAGACCAACGGGGAACTGAACAAAGTACTCCCAGATCCTTAGCCATCCTCACAATTATTGATGTCTGTGCCGCTTGTTTGAGGCACTGTGTCAGTCCATTTTCTTGAGTCTTCCTTTTATCCTCTGATCCTCCACTTTATCAAACACGACGTCCTTTCCAGTCATGTCCTTATTGAGAATGTGTCCACAGGACATGAGGCAGATCGTCAACATCCTTGCTTTTAAGGAGCTTTTTGGCTATACTTCTTCTAAGACAGATTTGTTTGTTCTTCCAGTAGTCCACGGTCATGTCAATATTCTTCACCCTCACCATAACTCAAGCGCACCACTTCCTCTTTGGTCTTCTTTATTCAGTCAAGCGTAGCTTGTCTGAAGCAGCTGCTACTCTGTAGTGTCCCCTGGAAACTACATGGCTGCACACTCCATAAGGCATCTCAGCAAAGCTCTTCCATATCCCTTATAATGATTGTTTGTATTGAGAGAAATTTGTTTAGTTTCCCAGCATTTGTTTTCTTGTGAAAGATATTCAAATGAGGGGTCAATTACACATTTGAGTTATTAATTTTTGTGACTGCGATCTGGATAGCGTAAAGGGAAATGTCTTCCTATTTTACATAGGTTTCCACTGAAGACTGTCAATACCACAGCATGTTCACACCTATGTACCCTACATTCCAGTTTTGCCATATTTGAGATTTCTATTCTAGGATGTGCTAATTTCATTTACTTTTTCTCCTTATATACAACCTCCCCCCCCCCCAAAAAAAAAAAATCCTCCCAAAACCTGGCTATAAAGTGAAGGCAATCATGTAGGTTCTATTCTCAAATCGTTTGAGGGAAGCTGTTATCTACAGTGTTGGAAATTTTGGGGGTGGGGGGGTGGCAGAGGGAGCTGGCAGTGGTCCAAGTGTCCAAAGCTCATTCTAGCTTAATTTCTTAAAAAATTGAGACAAACAAACAAACAAACAACCAAATAAACAAAAACCCTACTTCCTATATTGTTATAGAAGAGCTTTAAACAAGCAGTTTAAGTGCTAGAATACTAGTTGGGAACATCTGCATGAAAAGATATCTACTACCTCTTTCATCTCCATGGCAATCGGCGACTCTGTGTTACTACTGGGGGTGGGGAATGAAGGGCCCTAGACTTAACTGAAATCATGCTGAAAGCGCTCCCGAGGAAAGGTCTGCTTAAGCCCACCACACTCAGGACGAATGACTCAGGGCCTTCATTCATTAAGACTGGTGTTAGAAACCACCGTGGAGCCAGAGCCAAGACCTTTATGTTCTCATAAGCCAAGTAAACCAAGTGTGCTGTTGTTGAGTCTATTCCGATTACACTACCCCATAAGTCCAAGCAGGTCTGCCCCAGGTGGTTTCCAAGGCTGTAACCTGTAGAGAAGTACATTGCCATGTCTCTCTCTAGTTGAGTGACTGGTAGGTTGGAACCACTGGGTTTTCAGTTAGCAGCTAAGTCCTTAGCCACCAAGGTCCCTTGTATGTCTGGGCAGCTCTGTATTAGGATCAGTTTGCATATTATAGAACTATATTCCTCATCTGTAAATTCTCTGCGAGGATAAGTCATGTTCATTTTCTAAACGTTGAGTAGGCTACATATATCCTTTAAATTATTTCAGCTACTTTCCCAAGGATATGGAAGGATATGGAAGTGGCTTATTTTTTTAAAAGTCTCTATAATTATATCTTTATCATGGCTTCCTTCTGAGTGAGACTTATTACTTTCCTTCTAAAGAGTCACCTATTTCCCCTCTAGCTGCACTCAGTTCACGTCCCAGATTTCTTCTTCCTTTGAGGTGTAATCCTTGCAATTAAATTCCTGAACCTAGTCTACCCTTTCACCACGGCTTACATCCTGTACAACTGCTCAGAATGACCTGATGGACAGACTCCTACTTTGGTTTCTAATAAACGATTCAAGACAAACGTAATTAACATATAAAGGAAAAAATCAGAGGGGAGTCAAAGATAAGCAAAATGCCTATGAATTTATAAGACCTGACCTGGTAAAAATATGTACAACATTGATAGTTTCTCTGGACTCAATTTTAAATATTTAACACCCTCCTATCCACCCCCCCACCACCCCCACCCCCACCCCCACCCCCGCCACCCGACACACACAAAAGACCCAAAGAATAATTTTCAGGTCATATAGGAATATGAAACTGCTTAAAAACCATCAAATAGTAGTAGTATGTAGCCTACTAAATGTTTGGCATGCAAAAGCTAGTCAAAATATCACAGAAGTTTGAAGCTAAAAGACAGTTATCAATGTCATTTACTCTAACCACGCTAACCTTGCTTTATACCAATCCTATAATTGATAAGAATCTCATATTATTATGAAATATTTCTATAAATTTTTCTAGTGATAAGGCCTGCCTCTCTGAGGCATCCATGGTGTTTTGGGATAGGTATTAGGTAAAAGCCTTTGTTTTTTATTAGGAATTCAAGTCTATTATCTTGAAATTTCACTAAGTTGGTCTTAAATCTTCTTTTTGCTAAGAGCACATTTAACCTCTCTGGATTAAGTGGATCTTTTTAATGAATGACATCAGTGTCATCTTAAATATTCTCCTTTGTGAACTTGCACAAGACTATTTGATTGTTTTCATAGAACGAGCTTGGAACCTGCTGAGAATTTCATCATGTTCTTTGGACATATTCCAGCTTCTAGAAATATTACTTTACTGAATTGATTTGTAAATTAAAAATACTTTCATTGAATTGAAAAGCAATGACCTCAAATAAAAATCAATCAGTAAAGTAAATTAATTGAACATTGCCCTTATTGATTAATTTATTTTTAAAAAATCATGCTCTCTCAATTTAGAAAGTATTTTAAAAATTAGTTTCATGGATTTAAAGTCTTCACTAAATTCTGTGTACATTGAAGTGCATTCTAATCAATTAAGTTTAAAATACATTGGTTTCAAGTAACGTTAGTACCCTTTAAAATCTACTTGGGAGCCTTTAAAATCTACTTGGGTTGTTAGTACCCTTTAAAATCTACTTGGGTTGTTATATATATGTTACTGCCATGAATATTCAGAAAAAAACTTCAGAATAGTTGTAATTAACTCCATTTTACAGATGGAAAACTGAAAACTTTCAAATATCTGTAGCATGTTTCTTTTTAACTTTTAAACAACCAAAAATTAGAGAAATATGATTGTATTGTGACTCACTTTTACATACACATGCATGTCATTGTTAGGTGTTGTACAGTTTGTTCTGAACTACGGCAACCCTTTGTACAATGGACTAAAACAAACAAACAAGCATCCTCACAAGCGCGGTTACGTTGGAGCCCATTTTTTCGGCCAGTGTGTCAAGCTACCACTGAAGGTCTTCTTTGTTCTTGACTTTGATTCTGGCAAGCCCGTTGCCCTTTTCCAGGCACCGGTCTCCTGACCACTTGTAAACTGTGTACATATGCATGTCCAAATGTGTGCACGCTTTCAAGCCAAAAACTCCCCTTGAAATAATATAAAAATACCTCAGTAGGTTATAAATACTGTATTCCTATTCTACTTTTTTTTAAATTCTCACTGAATGTGTCCAACCTCAGTGTCCTGATTCACCATGGGAACACCGCAAGCTGTCCAATCTCATTGCTTGATTCAAATCTTTCTGGTTTCAAATGCTAACCTCTCTCCTCTATAATATCTGTCATAGCTAATGCATTTTATTTCTAAATTCTGGCACAGTAGTGTATAAAAATTCTATTTTGTGAAAGCTCCTGAAATGCCACCAATAGAAAGGACTACTAACAGCAGGGTAATGGCAATCAGGATGCACTCAGCAATTATTTATTGGAAAATCCTAAGTGTTGAGTGAGGCTTTTTTTTTTTTTTTTTGAGTGAGGCTTTTATAGATAAGAAAATTAATAAGTGACAATTCCAGCTCTCAAGATAATTGTGACCTGGTGAGAGAAGGAGAAGTATCTATGGATAGAGCAAATGATTAAAGAGTTTGACTGATGGCTAGCTGAAAAGTTGATGGTTTGAACCCCCTAGAGGGGCCAGGAGAGACAGACCTGGCAATATGTTTCCAAAAGGCCTACCCTTGAAAATCGTATGGTGCGGTCCTCTTTTGCATACACAGGTTCACCGTGAGTTGGAACTGACTCAAGGGTAACTAACATCAAGAACAAGGGTTGGTCAAAGTACCTGGAGGGTGCAAATGATTTGTGCTCAACTACTAACCACAAAATTGGGGTACAAATTCAGTTAGTAGCACCATGGAAGCCACCTAGCTGCATCGTGGAAACTATCCAGAAACACTAGAAAGAAAAGACTCTCAGATTGTTGCTGTTAGCCAGAACTCCGTTGATTTTGGCTCCTAGTATTCCCCTGTGACATGGAACAGCATCATAGAGTTTCTGAGCTGTGATTGAAGATCACAAGGTCTTACTCCCACAGAGAAAGGGTGTACTGCAACTATTGAAAATCATGTGCAGTGCAGTACTATTGTGAAATATCAGTGATTGCCACGGGTCAGAATCAATTCAAGGGCAAAAGTTTTGTTGCTGTTGAAGGTAGGAGATAGACTTGTAACCAATGAAGAAAATACGTAAACTGGAATCACATTAGTTATATATTGGTACAAAAATAGTTTAATTTGTTTAAATAAGAAGCAAGTGGAGAGACCACCCCATAAAATGATTTATTAAAACATTAAATGGCATACTGCATTGGGCAAAAAAAACACCCCAAAACAAAAAAGC